CCAGGCAGTCTCAAGGCGAACAGCATCCCTGCCAAAAATTCTAACGGCATTAAGCTTGCTTTTCCGGAAGTCACTGGATCGTCAATTTCAACTGCTGGCATCTTGGTGCGTCGCTCTGATGATATGTACATCCATTATCTAATAGCCGAAATCCCAGACCCGCTTCGTGTTATCTACAGATACAAAATGGGCCGCCGTCGGTGCTGTCTCCGGGGTCAAGTGGGAAGAAGAATACCGCGCTTACCACAAAATGCTGGCGTGCAATCGAGACCTGCCGCATGTCCAGGAAATATTCAAAACCTTTCAAGAATTTGTTTTTGCTGGGGTTAAGCCATCTACTGCGGCGTCTTCGGATCCAAATGAGGGGATGGAAGATGGGATCAGCGACGCATTGCGGAGATTCGAGAACGGTACAGGCTCAGCGTGGGCCAATGATGCCCCACCTGTGCAACCCATCCCCAAACCGCCCATCAATGTCAGCACCGTGCAGCCTACGGTTAATTCAGTCCCCCCGGAGAACGGATTGGCGGGAGCAGCGCAAGAGGAGGAATCTGTTGCTCCTGCCGGACGTACAACTCGTGCGGGGACCGCAACAAGGGGTAGGCGTGGAGCAACGAGGGCTAGGCGTGGTACCAAACCGAAGTCGTAGAGTGAATTTGTACACAAGTAGTAGCACGAGCGACACATGAATTTTGTTTCTTTTTTTTTATTCTCCCGTAGGAGCCGGAAGTACTCAATATATTGAACCCAGTGGACTACACTTTAAAGGACTGCCTGGTGCAGTTGGTTATGTTGTACATCATCTAAAACTCACATCATTCAGAGGTCGCTGGTTCGACTCCTGATGTGAGTAGAAGTTGAGCATTAGTCAAAAGAAAAGGTAAGTAAGAAATTAAATTTTTCGTGCCGGTTAACCTGATAATTAAATTTAGTTTCTTTAAATGGACCCCCTACCTTATTTTCGCCTTATCTTAATCTCGACCCTTATAATGTCCTTGTTGTCTTAGCCAGCCCTTATATTGTAGTCAATCTTATAATGTTATCGCTCTATTATCGGGGACTCTCATCTTATCAGGTTGTTATCTTGAGACCTCGGCCTGATGGCCCTTATCGGCATTATCAGGCCATATCGGCTTCTCCGGATTTTTCCGACAAACACCAGCTGGCCGTGATTAAAGACACTGGGGAAGTGAAAAAAGGCATCAAAAAGGACTTGAGAAAAGGCCGAAAACCCCGTCGTGAAACACCCTATTGGAGTCTATCGCAGCAAGCTCAGACTGATTACCACGTCGAGACTGAACTCGGTGCTGGACAAGTAATAACTGGGTTATTTATATATTCAGTGATTTTTCATCACCGCAGCACTTGACGGCCGCCCGTGGAAGCTTCGAAATTTTTCAGAGTTTATGGCTAGAACAACAGAACTTCGAAGTTGGGTTTTTCGCATTTCCGCAGTTGTGTTACTCACTCAATTTTGCGTAAGTGTGAACAACTTGCTCGCCCATTGAGGGTCCCGGTCGGCACGTCGGCGTAATGCCGGACACTGCCGACGCAAGGGCCTGGCCGCTGCCGGCATGGTCAGCCAAGCAACTTCTGGTGTACTTGAAGGTTGCACAAATTTGGTACAGATATTGCGGCGTTTCATAAATAGAATTTTCAGCCCTTGCCAAGTTGAGGTCAAGTTGGGGCACAAATTGAAGAAACACCTGAACACCTCACAGGTCGTTGCGTATCACAGAAAGATGGGATGCTGTAGAGGTGCAGGCCCGAGGCCCGCATTAGCCGAAGTTGGGGCACCAAGTTGGGGATCAAGTTGGGGTACAAGTTGGATGTCAGGTCGTGGTCTTATGCACGACTTGACATCCAACTTGGATTTCGTGCCTCAACTTGATACGAAGTTGGGGCACGAGTCGGGGTAGGGACACGAGTTGGGGTAGGGGCACGAGTTGGGGCACGAGTTGGCCTCAAGTTGGGCCCTAGATTATGACCCTATTATCGATGCACCATTCATCAAGTCATTCATCACCAAACGTAAGTTATCGACTGCATGGAAGAACGCCTTGACAGTTTGACTCATCAGAAATGAGGCCACCGTCGAAGGCTTATTCATGGCAACACTGCGGGACGCCGCTGAGAAGCCTTCTTCCTTTGGGCGCTGTTCCGTGGGGTATGTTCGACATCTTCTGCTCCGGTTGAAATTGGTAAATACCAGCTTTTTCAGTTGTTTCGGCCGCGAAACACGTCTCTTCTGATCGGTCATTCAAGACGCCTTAACACATTATTCGGAGTCTTGTCCCACACGCGACTAATACAGTCGGACTCAATCTGTCAACACTTCGCGGGAATCACTTCGTGGGAATCAGACGCCGTGATTACGCAAAGCGGTATATATATAATGCTGGCCATGCTCACATTCACCCATCAAAAAAATTCCTCCCTTCCCTAACAATTTTAGAGCGTATGTCGGACCCCTCCAAGATTCGGCATCTACTGTTGGTTCCGGTCCCAGCGTATGGTGAGGGAACGCCAGATTGCAATGCGGACTGTCTTACAGAACACCTTGCAGGTCATACACGGCCGCTCTGCGCTCTAGCAGGCAGACTCACTGCCGCCCAGGGCAACCTTGTAATCACGATGCTGATGGCTCCGAACTGGTTGCAGCAAGCGAAGTCGGATATCTCGGCGCAATTCCCGAGCGGGCATGAAGCCCTTGAACGCATCAGGTACGGCCCGCATCGAGTCGGACCTAGCCCTAAATATCCGATCAAGGATTGTCTCGTTGTTTGACACCGCGGAAACCCAGCTATTCGCGCTCATGCCAGTGGCAGCCGAGCGCTATCCGGCCGCGTGCGAGACTTTATTGCGCGGGAACGCCATCAAATGCGCGAGCACAGGAACGACGTTTGCCGCTGTACCCCCTCCAGTGGCGGTGATCGTGGACATGTTTGCGATTCCACAGCTCCACGCAACGCGATCCATAACCGGGACCACGATCCCGGTCTTCACGTTTATCGCTGGGACTGCCGGGGCGCTCATTCGTTTGTTTTGCCCAGAGTCCATGGGTGGGCAAGGCGGCCTGGGCGCAAAGATCGCCGCGGAGGCATTGCGCCTCGGAAAACCGGCGGAAGAAATAGGGGACCAGGTTTGTTCGGTCACGTATACGTCTGGGTTGTATATATATTTATATATATTCATGCTTTCAACGCTAGATCCTTCTCAATACGGACGGCACGGTCATCAAGATACCGGGAATCCCGGCTATGTATGACTACGAAATGTTTCCCCAGGTGCCCATACTGTCGCTTCACGCGTCAAAATTCCTTATTCTCATTTATGCAAGATACCAATTGAGGGTCCTGTGGCGGCACTACTAATAGCGGGACATGAGTGAGTAACATCCGCTCTCCGGGACTGCGAAGTTGAATTTTGAAGTATGATCATGGCGTGCGACGGGATATTGTTCGGTGGGAGTGCACGGGCATACGACGCGGAGAGTCTTGCTGCGTTGGAGGATTATGTGAAGCAAACTTTGCACAAGCCTTTATACTCAGTTGGACCTCTCCTTCCGCCTGGATATGGGGCAGAACAAACGCTGACATCAAATATCCCACGCGACACAGAACTTAAATCATTCCTCGATTCCATGGCATCGAAATTCGGGAACAAATCGGTCCTTTTTGTGCGAGATTTTTTCGATTTGCACGACGTCATTGATTTATCCCGGAATGTGCAGATATCATTCGGTTCTGTATTCTGGCCCACGCTCGAAGGACAACTTGAAGATCTCGTGGACGCTTTGGTCGAGAAGCAGTTCCCTTTCGTAGGTTGCCAGTAACAACATCCAGGGCCTCAGCTCATTTCGTGGTCAGATCTTATGCCATCCGTCCCCATTGGCTGTTGTGTCGGACGTATTGTTGGACAAGATCAAGTCCTCCGGTATTGGCGTAAGTTCAGCATGGGCCCCGCAGCAGTTTATCTTGAACCACCCGGTTCGTTATTGATTCTTTGTACTCGAGAGCATCGACTAATAAAAATTCTTCTTCTCGTGCAGGCTACCGGCTGGTTTTTGACTCACGGCGGCCACGGCAGTATCACCGAGTCTCTGGCATGCGGTGTGCCGATGTAAGATTTTCCGACTCTCAAGCGGCGGCAATTCTGACCCCGTTGATAGGATATGCTGGCCATTCGGAGCAGATCAGCCCATTGCTGCGGCGATCATCTCGCAGAATCTGAACGTCGCGTTCCATCTCATGGAAGTACGCACAGCGAAGGGGCTGCAGCCGCTGCATAGCGGATATGTCCCGCGAGGCACGCGCGACGCGATGCAGGCCGAGTTTAGAGAGGTTATTGATCACTGCCGCGGTGAAGTAGGGAAGGAAAAGCGAAGAAACGCGCAGCGAATGCAAATAGAATTTGCAAGCGCCTGGGCGGCAGGCGGGTCGGGTGTCTCGGCCATAAATGAGTTCCTCGCAGAGCATTTATCGTAGTGCCGCTTGGTGCTGAGTACGTGAAGATATAGATTACTTTAGAGTTCAAATTGGTCGCCTTTGTGAGCAATTCATAGAATGGGAAGGATTTCCACTTTATTGTCACGTTGTGTATAGAGAGGTTCACGGAGGTGTCGGAAGCGCAGAAATTGTTGCGACCAAACCGAACTTGAATAAAGATAAAATGATGGCATTAACGTGGCCTTCCAAAATTGATCATCTGCGCTTTGCTCCTCCCAATACGCCCCGCGACCAAGTAGTTCTCACCGCCCCCATATCCTAATCGAATCTACCAGGGATTCCATTACCAGGTAAGTTAGAGAGAAAATCCGTTTTTCCGTTTTTTTTTGTCCAGACAACCAATGCAGCTTAAGCAGGAGCTTGAAAGCCCATCACAATCCATCCGTAGCCACAGTTGATTTTGAATCGTACATTTATACTGGCGACTGTGTGCATCAAAGAAAAAGAAACAGAAGAGAGAGAGAGAAAAAAAACAGATCCAAAATTATCCCATGGCCTAGCCCCGAGTTGAACGGGGAACTTCCTCTTAACTGGCAGAAAGCGTGATCCAGTGAAAAAGGATGTGCTACCTCTACACCACCAGACCAATGTTGGGTGTTCTCCAATGGTGGTAGAGATATGTATTAGCTTACCGTGAACTCCAGCTTCGCAACAAGCAAAAATAATTTTCCTCTACTCTTTGTATTCGGGTTTACAGCAACAGATATTTGTGATATACCACTGATCCCACTACACACGAATCGGAAAGCAGACAGTTCACCGTGGCTCGAGATCCGGAGTTTGAATTGAATTACTACCTAGAGAAAGATTTAAAAGGTGTGCCGCAATTCGACTCAAGGAACAAGACACCGGCACCCAGCACTCTAGAAGTATTAAATAGTGCACGGTCAGTCGTGCGCATAAGTCGTTCAACGAAGGAAACAATGCTATGCTACCAAAAGAAGTGGAATCGAAAATAGTGTGCACTAGAAAGTCGGGGGATGCGGATAGGTTTAGGGTTGAGTAGGGGCCAATAGCGGTTCTACCTAGAGTGAAATGCCTTGTAAATATAGTCAAGAGTAAATATGTAGATTCTGAAACCAAAACCAACGGCTGAGAGTGCTCTTGGCCAATGTTTTAGTTCTCAATCATTTCGGAAGAAACTCGAGGGTTGGCTTTTTGAACAATGTCGAGGACCATCCCCGCTTGTCGTGGATGTGCTCCAACTGCTCAAAAAGGAACACCGTTCCTTCAAGCCTTCGAACTGATATGGTGAACAAGGCTATCTAGAACTAGTCTCATGTTCACCTTGAACTGGTCCAACAATACATGGCTCAACAGTTTTGCACAATTTATTAGGCACTTTGTTCCTTGACCAGATGGTCTTGTGAGGAGCGAAGTACACGTCCAAGTTGATAAACTGAGTGTCGACACAAGCTATTCAGTGAATAATACCCAAGAGAACCCACTCAGGAACATGTTCCAGCCGTGAAATTTGGTGCGGCTTCTGGAAATGGGGCGTCGTAGGGAGTCTCGAACTCGAACAGTAAGAAAGCTAGTTGAAGATTCGGAAATAAGGAACACTCAGCTTCGATTGTGCCCAACTATCACTGCAGAGGCATCCCTAAACAAATTCCTGGTTGTTGTTCGAAGTGTGCTCATACCGGGAAGAAACCTCAATCTCCGGCGCCTACACTCATACTAGAACTACAGTGCCCATTGATAGTGATAGATCTTTTCCACGCAAGCGTTCATCGCCCTGAAAAACAAAGTCATGCGCAACGGGAAGAAGCAACTCCCATCGGGATACTAGAACTCGGACGAATCACTGTTGGACCACGGTACATACTACTCTATTGGAAAGCAATGTGAGTTTTCTCCGGCCTGCCGGATATCAGTGGAGCCCTCTTCATCCAGCTTCCATTCCAACCATGGAGAGAAAACCCACAGATGCGAATCTTGGAGGTAAACAAGCACAGCGGCGCGTCAAGAGTTGAACCGTGAGATAACTTGGACTTGTGCTGGCGGCAGCAACGAGGAATGAATGTAAATAATGAAACAAAATTAGGGGCACTCTGAGGCTTAAAATCAATACGAATATGTAGTGGTTATCCTAGCCCTGCGAGGCCCTTGGTAACCCGTGTCTCGGGCATCTCGGCGATTGGAGCGCTGTACACAATACAGTGCATCAAGCCCGTTATGAGCGTTTAAATCCACCGACTCTGGCACAACTTGACCTACAGTACACTGGTTTCATCTCACTCCACTTAACGAGCAAATTGCAATTACTCAGCAGGAGAATGTTGATCATATTGTTTATTCAACAAGTGTACCAACAACTTATGACATTCATACGAGCACAGGTAAGGCCCATTATTTATCTAGCGCTAATTGGGCTTAACAAACACTTCCAGAACCACGAGTCCTGGGACGGAGGGGCTGGTTATACTGCTGGGGATTTCAATGTTCCGGCTTTACTTCAGTGAAAAGATCCGCTGACGCCTTTGCCATCTAAATGCAACGGGATCAACACATGTGAATTTTTCGATGCCCTCCAAAAAATCTCACACCATGGGTGAGTCTTGTTTATAGCATATGAAGTCCTGCTAAGATGTGGACAGTGTTCGTAAAGTGTAACTGGCAGTTCAACTCCTCCGATTGAGGCCTTGCATGGGATTCAACTTCCTTGCAATATTATAATGATGTCCAGCGAACTCAACTTTACTTATTTAAAATACCAAGTGCGCTACCTAGAATACATGCTTAGGTTGACCTTGAATTTCACAACGCCACCCAGTGGTGTGATAAGCTCAAAATTATCTACTGTTTATAGCCTACAGCAAGTAGACTGCACGGCTGTTCACATCACTTCGTCATGTGTTCCGCCTGTGACTGTCACCATCATCAACGGCTTGAAGCGAGTCGCAGTGACACCCTTCGAGTCGCACTTGAGTCGCACTGCTGACGGCCTCGTCAGTGCGACTCCCGGGCTGACAGTGCGACTGGACGAGTCGCACTCGCACCCTCCCCGTATATACTCGGTTCTTTCTCTGCCTTGGGGCTCGTTATTGGTGGACACTAGAGGACAGATCTCGCTGGAGCGGAGGTATCCTTGGCTGCAAGATAAAACCGAGAGCTGCTCTACATTCGAATACTATGACTAGGGACGTTACACCTGGAGGGCTTGGCCGCCGCGGGCTCATCATTTTATTCTGGTGATTTGATGTTAAGAACTGATCATTCGAGCCATAGACGTTTAAAAAGAAGAGACATATTTGGTCCACGTGCCTCGAAGCTTGGCCTGAATAGTCGAAGTATTGGAGACGATGTGTAACTTGGGAATGTTGCGGACCTGGAAGAATAATGATAATAAATGACGTAGAAATTGAAATGATAATGCGTATAGCTCATATTTTCTCGGATGTAAGGCCATTGAGGGTCTGTGTCATCCGCTCACAGATATATAACCGGAATTTGACAAGATTCAGCCACCAGTGCCCCATTGATTCAGACAGATCTGAACAAGTACAGCGTCGCTCGGTATTCTTGCCTCTCTCAAACGCCAAATTTTCCTTGAGTAGACGAGCCCACATCCATTTAGGTTCGGGTCCGGCGTCGCTGGTATTCATTCAGGCCATACCAGTAGCACTGACCGTTGGGATCCTCGTTGTGCTCCTCAGTTATAGGCTGCTGATTAATATCGCTGCCAGATTGGCTACGGGATGCATCGATGACGGTGTAACAGTGGAGGTAACCGGGAACTATCATAGCTCCTACGAAAATTGGCCCGATGCTGATGTATTTTAAGGATAGGGCGTAATCTTTTGGAGCGGAAACTATCTCGCTCTCGAGTCAAGACCTACATGGTACATAGTTCGTTTTTTTTAAATCCGACCATGTCTAACTAAACAGTGAAAAAATACACTACTTGTCCCGGAGACGCACAAGGGTCAATATTATTTTCTCAATTACATTGAAGGTCACGTTTGTGGGTCCACAAACCTCGCGGACCTCTACAAAGCATTGCTTGCAGCCTTGGAATAAAATCTGGATAAGCATTTGGAATAGTGGTAGGGAGCAATTACATTAAACACAGATGCTTACAGCCGGGTCTCGATTGAGCCCGTACCTCCGCTCGCTGGCTCAAATCAGCCGGTGACCCAGGTCCGCAGCAGGATTCGGAGGAATAAGAAACGAAAGGAGCGGACGGGGGCGGCGGACGCTCTTTTCCCAGATGCGCAGTAAGTCCCGATACCAAATAGCCGACCTCTGAGCGATTTTAGCCATTTATTCCTTCCAGCTATCCTGTTCCGGAACGTCTATCCAACGCTGCCGGTATGTTCCGTCACCCGCATCCTTCCATTCGCCGTGATCCGTCTCTCGTTATCTCTTTTTTTCAAAACCGACTAGGCCGCAAGTGCTAAGTATGCAGCTGATGGACGAACTCATCGTGGTGCGCTCGTCGCGCTCATACGGATAACTAACTCGTTTTTCTGCTTCGTTTCTTAGTAAAAGCAGATTCCGCTTTTGATGGGTTTCTTAATCTTGACATTTCCCTCGTGCGCACTGCGCAGCACTTGCGCAGCACGCACGCTAAACCAACCCATTACGTGCGACTGAGACCTTCTGATACGCTCTATCCGGAAAACAGGTAGTTCAGACTCAGAGTAAGTATAAAAGCTGATAGGTATATACCCTCCATTCTCACTCTCGCGATGTCTCTTCTGCGCAACGTCCTGAAGCGGAACCAACCTCCTAATGTATCCGCAGATTTTCCTCTACCAGCGACCTCCAAGCGCGGCGTGAAACGTTATGCAGCGTCCATTAAATCGTCGGGCGGCGCGTCGATGAGGTCGATAGCCGAGTCGATGATGAGCTTCTACAGTGTCATGACTGGCGGAGGAACACGCGTTCCGAAGCGTAGACGACCCGATATCTCAAAGCTAGGCAAGCTCCATTGTTTTGCGCCTCTTGGCGAATGCCTTACCCACTGGGAGCTCAGGGGTGCCGGAATGGTATGCTGAGAATCCGCCCCTCCGCCGTTCATGCCTGGGACGGCTGCAGCCTCGCCAGCACCTGCATTCGCAAGTGGTCACGCCAGTGTCCTTCACCCAAGGAGCGAAGGAGAGAAACCATGGCTTGGGCTCGTTCTCTATAGTCACGCACGCCCGGCCTCCGCGATGGCAATGTACCACACCGCTGGTCAGAGCTTCTTCGCACAACTCCATGCTTTCGGTCTAATTCTGTAACCCAAGCAACGGTCACGGGCGAGGTGCGCGTAGTTCTTGACGCGCCCGCAAATTTGGGCAGCATCGACGTCTGGGTACGTCCCGGCGTTTCGTTTCTGTCTGTTATTCCGCGTATTTACAAGAGCTTCTTTTTTTTCTAGGTCGTCATTGCTTCCGACAGCGCCAACGACAATTTCAAGCCTCCCATCGCGTCTATGACCGTCAATGTGTGGAATCGCAAGAAAGGCGACCCAAGGTCCGCCACTTCTGGAGGGCCCTCCTTTACTGGAAAATTTCCTGCGGGCTCTTTCGTGTTTCCTTTCGAGTTCCAACTGCCAACGGACACGCTGGTCAAACATCCGGACGAAACCAAGAGCAA